CATTTTCTGGCCAATAAACACGCTGTACTGGCTGGCTGCTCCGCCTTCTGGCCAGTAAACTGCATATTTTTGCATAAAAAAACGAGGACACGTTGCACCCCTGAGTGGCCCTTCTATATGGATCTTTATTCTATGACCAAGTATTGAGATGCTACTACTTTCACCGCTTGCTATTCGCGGGCGCGCGTAAGAAAAAGAATATTTTTTTGACAAATTTAGTTTCAGATTTCGCGAAGTTTTTTCGTCTTTAAAATGAACACTGCGCTTCAAGTTTGGGATGGCGAACTCTCGGTGATAACGACACCACCACCGCGTGTTTCAGTTCCGACAGATGTCGTTATAAAGGTCGCTTATTCTGGAGTTTGTGGCACAGATTTACACGTGCTAGCGAAGGAATTTCCTTGCGCGAAGTCGGTCGTCCTAGGACATGAGTTCAGTGGGGTTGTCACGGAAATTGGAAGCGAAGTGAAGCATTGCTCAGTTGGAGAAAGGTCAGGAGAAAATATATACTTGTACTGTTAGTTTGTGTATAAATGTTTTTGTGTAGCTAGCCACCTCCCCCCCCCCCCCCGGAAACGATGCTAAAAGTAAATATTGCGGGGGGGGGAGGGGTGTTCGTATTAGAATTGTTCTAATAATATCTTGAATGTTGAAGATGCAACTACCTGAAAAATATTGACCAACTTTTGATGTTGATGTTTCTGACAACGGTCTTTTCTGACTTCTAAATAAATGCCATCAATGTTTGTTTGATATTTTTCAAAAATCTGTCGACCACCATCGTGAATAATACGGTTTTGCAAAAGTCTTGTAAAGATCGTTTATAGCTAATCACTTTAAGTTTAAACTCGGATTAATTCAATAATTATTACTTTAGAAGTTCAATTAGAGCTAATTATATCTCTAATTATGGGGTATGATCAGAACTAATCTCAGTTAAATTTTAATGAAACCTGATTGCAACCAATTACACCTCATTAGCTGTCAATGGACAGCTATTGTCATGCCTGTAAGACTGCTAATAAGAAATATGTCTTAGTTGGGAAGATTTTAAATGACTGGAGAATAAAGACAACATACTGCTGTATATTTTGCAGAGTGGTTGTAAACCCAAATTCCAGTTGTGGAAAATGTCACTACTGTTTTAAAGCCCAGCCTCATTTTTGTCCAGTTGGTGGACTCAATTCCACCATTGGTCTTTGGCGTAATGGCGGTTGGGCGCACTTCTGCCGAGTCCCTGCCTCGCAAGTTCATCCGATTCCAACACAGATCACTCTGGAAGCGGCTGTATTTGTCGAACCTATCTCGTGTATCCTCCATGGCTGGGATCAGCTGGGCTCGTTACCAACAGATGCAGATATCCTGATTTGTGGTACCGGGATCATTGGGTTGCTTTTTGCAAGCATAGCCCATTTCAAAGGTTATCGTAGGGTTATCCTAACCGAGATATCGGAACAGCGCCGAGCTCTGGCCTCTGGGATGAAGTTGGGTTACAATATCGTTCACCCGGAAAGCCTTGAGATTCTATACAAACGAGGAATCACCAATAACGATGTCACTTGGGGTTTCGACACAATCATAGATTGCACTGGTTCACCAGAAGCTATCCAACAAGCATTTAACTGGCTTCGCCATGGAGCCACCTTTTGTGTCTTTGGCTGTTGTTCTAAAACTTCCGAAATTAAAATCAATCCATTTGATATAGTTTTTAAAGAACTAAAGATGGTTGGATCGCTTATTAACCCGTTCACCTTCCCAAGAGCCATACAACTAGTCCAAGACATGGCCAAGGATTATTTGGGCTACAAGAAGTTGGGGGTTGAAATGTTTAAACTCGAAGATTATGCCCAAGCACTGTCAACCTTGAAAAGTGGAAAGATCTCGAAAGCTGTTTTTGAAATTTGAGACTGATCATTTTTGTGATAATTGTGCTGTGATAGAGGGGCTTGAAATTTTCAGTATCATGATACACATAAAGTAGCAGCTTTTAAATTTCAGTACTGGACAATGACACGGCAGCTTAGTAATACAGTACTTTATTTTTGCTTTTGCTTGTAACTGCTGTCTGCAATATCTACTATCCAAATCAGGGATACTAGATTAGATTTCCTGGGTGGATACCAAATTTGAAGTCACTAACATGCCATTGTATTGTGCTGAAAATTTCAAGCCCTGTTGTAATCTGTAGATAGGGAAGTTTATAATTTGGAATTATTTTGGTAATTGATCAGAATGAATTAGATTTAGAGTCGATATAACAAATATAAGACTATATAACAAATCATCAACACATACATACCTCTCCCACAGTGGAAATTGGGAGTGGTATAAGGGTTGCCTCTGGGGAACTGTAAATAATGAGATCAAGAAAATATGAAACATAATCATTCATTACAATCAGTCAATCAATCAATGTATAGTAGTCATAGCCTAAGGAGTTACACAGTAATATCAATTAAATACAAAATATTATTTTCTTGCCATACTAGATTCTTTGCATCCTATGTTATTCTAATGTTACAGCTGTAATAACAGATTTATGGGCTGAAAATGGAACAGTTGACTTGATGTTATTCATCATATATCCTTCATCATTTGTTGTATTATTGAATTAATCATTTTGTTCATACTAAGTTACTAATAACTATTCCTTATTCCATTCTATCCATAAATCTGTTATTATTTTGGGTTTTCAAACTTAAAATATTATTTTCAATACAAATCAACTGGATAAAACTTTTTCATGTGTGTTTCTGGTGTTATGTACTCAGGTGAAGATATATGTAGAGGATTGGTTCAATTCCCACCATAGTCAAGCAAACCTTTCAGCTTGCCAGGTGTGGATACCCTCACAGACAACATCACAAGCATAGATGAAACTGTTATTTGTTTTTCATCCTTTTGCTTCCACCTCCAACGATTTTCAAGTTTCAGACTCGCATGTCTTAGGTTAGTCTCTGGTCTGTAATGATGGCCCTAGTATATATACAACATGTTTTTCGTAATTTCTTATCCTAAGCCCTGCTCACTATTGACAGCTATTATCCACAATTATATTAAGATGATAGACAAGGGCAAATCTGTTTTTACCATAAACACAGCTACATCTAATTGTTGCTCTGTGAAATTGGAAAACAGAGCTTTTGACTTACGGCTCGTTCAAACGAGACCAACATTTGTGGATGCAACATTGTTGGTGTTGTCTGAACACTATGTTGGTTGATAATGGATCAGGTTTAACTATGTTTAAAATTTCCATCCTACATTGTTTACATTGATGTTGGACTCGTTTGAATGGGGCTGTATTGCAATGAGTTAACCTATTCCTCAGCATCCACTAAATCCAACTTTCCTGCAGACTAAAACTCTGAATCAGAGTCCAGTAACATAGTCTCTTCAGAATACCCATTCTTAGTATACACAACTTTAGGCTGCGGACTTGTTGCACTTTCTTCATCTGTCTGAACCGGCATCCCACCTGCGTATTGTTGATACGACCGAGAAAAATTATGAATCGCATCCGTCACAATGTCTTTTGGGTTCAATGTCTGTCTAAAGTTACTTGATATGCTCTTCAGTGCAACAGCTTGTCCTTTTTCATTTAACTTTCGTTGGTTCAGGTATCGCGAATGTGGGAAGGCAAACCGTAGCGCAATTGCAGCGAAGAACATCTCGATACATATCAAGAAATCTTGACAGGCGCTCGCAATCTTTCCTGATGAAATATTGTTGTATGTGCGAATTATACCAACGCTTTCAAAGATTGCCAATGTGAAACCTACATGATAAAAAGTTGTGACTAAATCAGGGTGCGATTATTTGTATACTCGTGTACCAGAGATATGTGAACTGAGTTTGTCCTAGTCTGAAAACATCGTCTGAAATGCCAACCCACCTTGCCAAAAGGAGAGAAACACAACAGACTTGATGGTAAAGAATTTCAGTAGTGGATAATGTGGTGCAAGGAGTTCTTTTGTGGCAGAATAGAACAAAAATAATCCATATAATGCCAGAGTGTAGGAGATGTTATAGATCACAGTCACATAAAGATAGCCTCGGTCTCCTCTGAAATAGAAAATATTGTCAAGTTTAAAAACTAACTTTATTTGCATTGGATATGGCTCTGTCAGGTCTACAATGTTCTCTCCAGAGGTCCAGTAAGGATCATCTTTTATTGGTTCAGTGTTACTACAGAAGGAAACCTTACTGGATTTGGTAAAAGTAGCTTTATTTAGTACCTCCATTCTCCTGGATCATAATAACCAAGAGGAAACAAAATCAGAATAACAATCACCATGATTGGTTTCACAACACAGAATTGAAGCGTTGCCTATAAAGCAAAGAAAAAGGTAATGATACACATATAATGGGTGAGTCTGTTGAGATTTGAAATGCAATGGGAAAGTCTACATTAATTAAATGTACAGGTTAGTAAGAAAATTTGAGTACACTATATATAGAACCATATTGAGGATTCATTGTACCTGTTTACAAAACTTTAGGAAACCAACAGTGTATTGCATTCCATTCAGACAACATGTGCAACTCAACCAGCTTGCCCTAGAGAACATTAAAAATTGAAGGAATAAAGTCCATATACTGCTAATAAATGGCCCTTTGCACAAGATTTATCTGTAATGAGTAGTGCCATCCAGTCATAATCCATTGTTGTTTCATTCTTTTAAAAATCCCACTGTTCTCCATGTCATCTAGTCACTCATTCATATTTGGACTGATTTTGGTATTTAGATACGATCCTAATATAAACTATCCCATTTGAGATTACTACCCTCGCCCATGACCTCCGACCTTTTGCAGGTGACAATTTTATATTCAGTTGATAATGTTCACTCACTTGACTGGTCGACCACGAAGCTCATTCATAATGGCAATCTCACCACCAAGATATTCATAACATAAACTAATAAAATTATATATCACAAAAGCTGGAAAAGAGAAAAGAGATTTGAAATCAAACAGTGTTGCAATTAGGGGTGGAATAAATATGTGAGCACTGCTCACAGGAAATGTTAAACAGCACTGCATGTGCCACAAATTCGTTTGATTGAAGATTTGCTCTTGAAAATATGGTTGACAGACATTATTCCTTGAATTTAAAACCATGGTCAGCTAGAACACTATATATGTTTAAGCACATGCAGATTTAGCACAAAAATACTCCATTGGTCTGCAGGAAATTTTTGTCTCCAGGTTATGCTCCCAGGAAGAATTTTTTTTTGCAAGCAGAAGGGTTCACAAGCTTCTCACCTTCATAGCAATCTCTCACAGTGTCAAAGTAAATGGAATATGAATGTTGAAAAAACAGAAGACTAAGCCAGGAATGAAATGCATATATTGGAACGATGAACAAGATCCGAACAATCCATCGTTGTTGGTTCGGATTTGTGTAAAATTTTAAATGAAGATAAATCTAAACGAAACAAAATATTTTAAAATCATAAATGCACATTGTTTATTATTTTCCTAATCCCCTGTTCATACAGATCCAGGGAAATTTAAGATGGTTCCAAAAGTGGCATGATTTTGCCATTCATGAAACTGGAGTACGTATCATGAGCCTCGGGCCAACAGCACAATATTTACAATTTGCCATTTTTTATATTTACAATTTTAGAGGGAGCATTTGCAATTGCTCCCTGGAATAACTAAAATGCTAATCGAGCCAGGGAGCCAAACTAATTGAGCCAGCGACGACATTAAATAATTCCTCACAATTATATTATCCTTGTGGGGCATTCACCCTCCCCTTTTCCTATCTTCTCTGGTTAACCAATATCTCTGGCAGGCATTCAAAGATTGGGAGAATAGAGATCTCTTCTAGAATGGATTTAAAATGGGATGGCTCAGTGCCAATAGATGGTGTTACTTTAATCATGACAGTGATGACACAGCTATAATAGAGCTATTCTATAGCCACATATGTCTACACTAGAAAAACTGCATTAAAAACCTACAGATTACAGCCTAGTTTCAAACTTCACATCATTACACATAATATTTCAATAGAAATTAATAACCGTAAACGCAGCACGACAATATAAACTAAAATTCCAGCAGAAAAATTCACAATTTCCACACTTTAGCACTTCCGTTCGATCTGTCATCACGTTTTATTGCTCTCGCGTGATAAACAACAAAATAGGCTAAAACATTTGAACTGTACAGATTGTACAATATCTACGACAAAATCTAAACACTTTTCTGCTTTGTAGTTCCTTGAGAGAAGGCTTCAATATTTAAAATGTTACAAAATTCAAAATGTAAACAAATTTGATCGTTGTTATTTTATATAAACACGACTTCAATGAGAACATATTAAAATGTAACACAAGTTTGTTAAATTTCGAAAACTACTTGCCTGGTGTACTGTGATCAAGATAGCCAAACCCACAAAGAGGCCAGAAATACCCTGAGCAGCTGGTGTTTCGTAAAACACATCGCCATCTTCGCTACTTGCTTTCATGGTCGTAATATTTACGGTCATGTAAAATTTGTTCCCGTTAAAATGGGTCGGCCTTGTTTCACTTTCTGAGGTTGGAATAACCATTTTTGACTTCTGAAATGATTAGTAAAGCGTTCTCCTGCTTAATACAAACGACGATTTTTTAAACAAAAATCGACGAACGGTTGTTTTTATATTTTCTACAAAGTCATCTTCGATATTTGCAAGAATTTGAGAGTATGTTTGTTACTACACGAAGTTCTTGATAGGGTATTTCCGGTATGCTGGATGACGTAATTTTTACTGAAGAATAAATTATGGAGTAAATACATCATCTTTTTGGAAGAATAACGTCAATTTTGTTTGGGGAAGCGCGATTTATTCATTTCTATAACAAAGACAGCAAATAAATTACACCACACCCTTCGCAGCAAGTGAAGCTTTATTCAGTAAGTTCCAAAGGTCTAACTACCGAGCCACTCATTCATTCTGTGCGCTGCCGTTCAGCGCAGAAATACAACACTCAGCAAAATTCACAACCCCGGATAAAAAGCGACCAACAATGGATGAGTTTGCTGCATCTTCTCTCCCAAACTTCTTCTCTGACTCATGACCAAAGTTATTTTCAACACAATCCATGTTTATGCTGTGCTCTCTCGCACTGAATTCTCTCGCACAAATATTTTCATCAAAATGCAATGACTCACTGGAATCGCTAGATGAAACGCTATCCATTTCTCTACCGTATTCATACTCGCTTGAGCAGCAGCAAGAAATTGTTGAACTATTTCGCGTGCTGTTACCGATGCCATCGAAAACGCTTGGACTATTTCGCCCACTGTAACTGGTGCACCCTTCAAATACTTGAATCGCAATGTCCCTTGTCTTTGGCTCTTCTGCCGAAATTTTCTTCAAGCCAAAAGGCGGCTCATCTTCATTGAAATTATCATCTAGAATGAGCCCACAATTGTCTGGTGAAGTGTCTGTTGTATCTTTTATCAAATATTCGTTGTCATTCGTGTTCGATATTGTTTTTTCGCGAACAATTTGTCTTCCTGAATAAAACTTGACAGAATTCTCATATTTTATCATATTTTGTTGAACATTACTGCAACAAGATCTGTTCTTGCACTTGGATGTAATTTCTCTTGGGGAAACATTGTCGCACAGTGCATTTTCCGGCCAAAAACTCGAAACCATGTTACGCGTTTGATTTACTAAATCATTTTGAACATAATAGTTGTCAATTACTTCGCCATCGCTAAAACGCTCACCAAAGTTGCGAGACGTGCTAGTTTTGGAGTGCTTTTCATTTCCGTCATCAATTTGATATTTGGTAATGTCCACATCCAGCTTAAACTGAATGCGTTGTTTTTTTATATGAAGAGCATCATGGTCTCTGTGGGTGGCTTGACCATTGCTTCCGTTAATACCAATGTGACTACACTGACATGCGCATTGGTTGCAAGAACGCGGAATAGTTTTACCATGAGTACCATTGCTTGTTTCACAACAGTTGCTGGTATGCATAAGATCACTTTCTCCAGCGGCAATCTTTTTATATTTGAAACTACAACATTTGTGCATATTGTTACCATCATCTTTGTCCCTTGTTTCCGTTCTGTCGTCAATCACAGTTCCCTGCTCTCCATCAATATTGAGGTTCATGTCTGCAACATCCAGACCATCACCATTTTTAATGTCATGTCTACTACCATAATCACCATCAACACCACCACCATTATCACCACCACCCTCATTATCATTGCTTCTCTCATAATCATCACCACCGTTTACAGCACCATCATTGACACAAATATTATTACCACACACAAAACCATCATCACCATCGCCTCTACTGTCAATTTTACTGCCATCATCGCTAACACCATCATCATCATCATCATGGCCACCATGATCACCAATATTATTACCACTTCTTTTACTGTCAATTTTATTACCATCATTACTATCATCTTCATCATCACCTTCGCCACCACCATCATCACGCCCTTTGTCACCACTTCTTTTACTGTCAATTTTATTACCATCATCACTAACACTGGCATCACCACCATCATCATCTTTACCACCACTATCACCAACACCACCATCATTATCAGCTTCACCACCACCATCATCACGCCCATTATTACCACTTCTTTTACTGTCAATTTTACCACCATCATCGCTAACACCATCACCACCATCATCACCAACATCATCACGCCCATTTTTACCACTTTTTTTACTTTCAATTCTACTACCATCATCATTACGATCATCATCACCATCATCATTACCATCATCATCACCATCATCATTACCACCATCACCTCCATCACCACCTTTGTCATTGCCAGTAGCATTTTCACCATCACAAGGCGTATCAATAGTGATAACATTTTCACTTTCAATGACGCTGTAGTTCTTCACCTGTTTGTCACAACGATCCTCATCACCATCAATCCTTAGCCCACAGTCACTATTTATCCCAGGGGCCTTATCACAATCCACGCCTAAGTTCCCATCATTCACCCTATCACCGTCAACTCTGTTCAACCTAATACCACTTGCTTCCCCATTATCGTTGATATCATTTTTTATCACTGTTTTCTGTTTCGCTCGCTTCTTCTTTCCTGAGCGTCCAAAACACATGAATATTAATTGCGTTATCAGGAAACCAAACGCGGCCACGCTTGCCACGATGCTGAGAAAAGCCACTGAGATAAACATCCCGCTGTTAACCATCTTTGCTTCGTTTCAAGCTCACTTAAACATGATTAAAACGAAAGAATTTGAAGCCACTGTCAGTGATGGGGACCATTTGTCGCACAGTGTCCTTCACATCTTTGACCAAAGTTTGATTTCTGCAACATGCAGAACTTAATTGTCTGATTATAGCATCGGTCACATGTGAGAAGAATGCTTCTAGTTTGTCTCTGCCAAGTAGCTCTCTTTGGTCCTGGTTTAATTAATAGTTTTAATCCTGTAGTTGTAACACTGCACATTTAAGCTTGGTTTCCATATGGTCGTAACGGTCGTAAAGATTGAGTCACGATCTTTCTCATCAACCGAAATACAACATTTTAGAACTGAAAATGCTCGGAGTGATTATAACTAGAGAATACTTATGATTTATATCAGTGGCGTAACGTTATATTAGAGGGCCCCCGGTTCAAAATTTTCGAAGGCCCCTCTTGTAGAAGTGCTAAAGCGCCGTATATGCACAGGTTTTCTAGGGGGTCCAGGGCATGCTCATCCGAAAAATTTTTTAATCTAGACTCTCTGAAATGCCATTTCCTGGACTTTGGGGAGAGATTTTACAGAATCCTGTTGGTCAGAAAACGACATTGTAACATATCAGAGAGGCCCTGGCCAATGTTTTGCTCTATCGCCTAAGCTTGGGGGCCCCCATTTTGGCCCATTGGGGTTGGGGCCCCCGGGTTCTCCCGGTCTGAGCCCATAGTAGTTACGCCACTGATTTATATACATGTGGTTTACAGGTATAAACTATTATAAACTGGCCGTTGAGAAAGATCGTGACTCTATTTTTACGACCATATATGGAAACCTGGCTTAATGTCGCACCATAATGCTTCACTGCGTTTCATCGTTTCGTCTTTTGTCATTGTTTATTCTTGCATTTTGTTCGCTTGTGAAAACCAGGCTTAATTATAAGGCATCAAACTCTTCTATACAATCATTCATTTATTCGCAGGGCTGCACTCCGACAGAGGTCTCTGTCCGCATTAGCGTTGTTTAAGTTTAGCATTAGTTAAATTTCAATCTTACCTTGATTTGTTAAAAACTGTTCTTTATTGACAAAAAAAGACTGTTCAAACGAGCTGAAGAACGAACACTCGTACGGCAGTTCGATGGAAAATGGAAAAGCGAAAATTTTCTGGTGAAAAAACAAGCGCCCTTCCAAATGAACCATTTTGTGACGTCACGTAATCTGTGCGCGCAATTTCATACCGCGATTTACACCAGAGACTACTCTGAATTACTGTCGAAGGCTCTGGAATCCAGGGTAACCAGAGACGGACGATGCATCTGGACTGAACCTGGGAAATAAAAGATATACGCCCGTTTTGTAAAAGCTCACTCACACTCGATGAGTGGAAGTTCAATCTGAGCTTCTCTTGAGTGTCATTGCTGTTTTTGAATAGCTGGAGGGTGAGTAGTCGCATAGTAAGGTACGACACTAACTCTTCAGCTATTCAAAAACAACAATGACACTCGAGAGAAGCTCAGATTGAACTTCCACTCATTGAGTGTGAGTGACCTTTTACAATACGGGCGATAGTTCATCTGGTGCATGATGCATGTGTATACAGAAACGCAGCAGACGGACAGATCACCTGCGTGTTTAAACACCGTACTAATAAACACGGCTTCGTGAAAACCGTCGGAGATAAAAGGCATTATCTACTTAGATAAAAACATAATCTGATCAGCTTGCACTACCCTGATTGGCTAAGCTAATCGTGACCTTTAACTAGGTAAGTGTTCACGTTTAGATGCAGATGACGACTAAAATCTTGTGGTCAAAATTTTCGCGCATAAAGGAAGAGGTTATTTCGCTGGCATCAGAGAGTCAGAGTGACAGAACGTAACAAAACAACTGTTTTACTAACACTAATGCATGAGTCAATTCCTGGAGTAACCATCCCCCCCGGGACACCCCCGGGAATTTGCCCGATAGACAGTTCACGGGGGTCGGGAATTTGCCTTTCATATATGTGCAAGGGGGCCGGGTATTGGAGGACCCCGGGGATTTGACAAATGGTTGCCCAGAATCCCACCCACAAATTTTAAGGCAGCAAAACATAGTTTCAGGCCACAGGCGGCCCAATTTCGCAAGGGTCAGTATAGACTTATAGTATAAATGTATATTATATTAATGTATATTATAGTAAAAATATGTTGTAAAATATAAATTTTAAAATGAAATTGACTTGCCTATTTGATAGTGTGTGTTCTCCTTTTGTTACTCCTTTTATTCCTCCTTTGTTGGACTAATATTTTCCAAGACTTTGTACTCGATGTTACTAGTATACATGAAACATATCATGTTTCATGTATACCAGTAACATCGAGTACAAAGTCTTGGAAAATATTAGTCCAACAAAGGAGTAATAAAAGGAGAACACACACTATCAAATAGGCAAGTCAATTTCATTTTAAAATTTATATTTTACGACATATTTTTACTATAATATACATTAATATAATATACATTTATACTATAAGTCTATACTGACCCTTGCGAAATTGGGCCGCCTGTGTTCAGGCTAGCCTCCTCCGCAGGCATCTCACCCATTCGCAGGCTAGAACCCATAGAGAGGCCTGCGGAGGAGGCTAGTTTCAGGCAAGCATGTGGGCGCGCTGATCGTATTTTGCGCCCTCGTGGTCAAGGTGGTTTTATAATATTCCATAGCAGTTTAATACTATAATGTTATTAAATGACTATGATTATATGCCATTAAAAGTTTAATTAACGTTTACAGTCGATTTCACGAAACTTTGACCACAAATTTTCCGAACTTCGTTGCGAAGTTCACAAGATTGTTGCGAAGTTCAAAAGTTCATAATGAGATTCACAAACCAGTCCGTAAACTACGCATTTGATTGGCTTCTTTTACTTCACGGACCAATCAGGGACTTTTGTTTACAAATTGGCTTGTGAATTCCAATATGAGCTTCCGAACTTCGCACGAACTTTCGAACTTCGCAACGAAGTTCGGAACATTTGTGGTCAAAGTTTCGTGAAATCGACTGTAATATCGTCCCCGGGGTGGGGCATTTTCCACTCCTAGCTTGCCCAGGGGCCGTGCATTAGTCTTCAAGTTGTGTCCCGGCACCCGGGCATTTACACTATCATAACCAATCAAATCTAACGCCCGGGTGTGTTCCCGGGGGGGGGAGATGGTTACTCCTGGAATTGACTCATTGACTAACACTAACCCTCTAACCCAGTAACCCTAACCATAATCCCTAACCTAACCCTACTCCAAGTTTGTTTCTAAACCAATCTTGAAGAACAAATTTTGACGAAATGTCATTCTGAGGTCAGCGAAATAACTTCTTCCCATAAAAAAATTCCCTGTTGGTTTTTCGTCAGGGGTTCATTCTCCGGTAGTGGTGTTTGTGAATTTTTTTTCCTATACGAGTTTAAACACTACCGGAGAATGGACCCTGACGAAAAACCAACGCACGATGAAACGGAGAGCTTGAGAACGAGTTGTTCACGCCTTGGCGTTTTGGCCAAGTTTTGTTGATCGTTCGAATTTGCTCAAGTTTTGTTGTCTTCTGCATGCGAGTTTCCTATAATGTTACGTTTTACCAGAGGAAGGGGGCGTAAGCCTGATCCTAAAGACAAAATTGCCCAAGAACTTTTGTCGTTCGCCAAGGTACGTGCCGATTTTTGTGACCTTTTTGTACGCAGTTCGTTTCACTCGATAAAATTGTACTCGAATTCCCTAGAAGGTATAAATATTATGTGTTGAGTTTATCCTTTCATTTTAGACAGTAGAACATGGATTTCCACACAAGCCGAGCGCTGTAGCGTACGATAAGGAAATTGGACTGCTCGCAATTGGGACGTCTACTGGTTTTCTAAAAATGTATCCTTGGATGTAAAAATTTGAACCGTTTTAAATTAAAAATGCTGCACGCCGCGTGATGCTGGTGTGTATATTAGTTAAACAACAAAGTGAAAATGGGCATTACTTTAAGGGTATTTTGGTAGCAAAATTATATCGGGAAGTCTCAATGAGTTGGCTATTTTTGCTCCGGCAATTCGGTTGCCAATATTTCATTGTATTGTTTTCAATTGCCTGTCGAAATATTGTCAAAATGCCCGCTTAATCTGTTATTTGATTTATGTCTGGGGCCCAAAGTCTAACGTTTTCAAAGCGTTTAGCAATTCCGGTGATTTAGAAGGAAAGTTTAAGGCCTTAACAACATATAGTATCTCCTAAAAAAATGCATTACTCATTAACTTTTCTAAGTCACTTGATATTTGCAACTTTGGTGTATTATTTTGGCGGGCATTCAAGAGATATTGCGACTAAAATACAATATTGTATTCAATTTTTTTTTAAATAAAATGGTACCCCCAAGGTAGCATTGTCCTCCCAAATTCATTATGGGCCAAAATTTGGTGCTAGTCAGTGTTTTGGGGGTTTTAAATATCTTTTATTAATAGAAAAGGAAATTCTATTTATACAAAGAATGTTCTTTGTTATATTCTGAGAAAATATGAATGTTTCTTCTGAGAAAATATGATTGTTTTAGCTCAGTTTAAATGGTCTGTTCAAGGGGCTGTTTATTTGGAAGCCGAGCTGGCCTGCTTAGCAAGACAGCCTATAAGCGGGATGAATTTCTCTTATGTTTATATGTATGAGAAAATTTCATCCCGCTTGCTGGGACTATTTTGTTTTTTACATTTTGTCATTCCGACAATGGGCCACCCCACTTGTGTGTGTTTATGTGGTGAATTTTTTGTCCTGGTAAGCGAGATCTCGGTAACTGGGCCAACCCATTTGTCCATTTAAATGCACTGTAATTTTTACTACAAAAATAATGACATACCGGTAGCGAGATCTCAATCACCGGGCTGTCTCACTAAGTGGGCAAGCCTGACTTCGATACAAACAGCCCCTAAACTATAAAGTCGCAACTATTTTCTGGTTTGAAAATTCCGTTCAGAAAATTCCAGAAATGTCTACCCATTTCTGGATTTCTCTACTTCGACTTTGATGCATGATATTTGGGAGGAACTTGCGAACATGCTGCATATTGTTGCTAATAATTTTGCTATATAACATCATTTAGAGTCAGAATTGTTGATTGTGTTTCAACATCTAACATCTCTTTAAAAACATAGAAAATGATTTTTGTTTATATAGCACTTGTCATGGAAACCAAAAACTAAATTAATTTGCATATTGTCTGAATCTCTTTGACTCCAAAAAAAATTTCTTATTGAATTTGTTGTAGGAATACTCAACTTGCAAAAAGTCGCAAGTTTGCAATTTTTATGCTGATTCCCATGTTAGTTCCTCGAGGTGAATGGCAAAACACACACAAGACAGGTGTATTTGCCTTTGTCTGCGAATGAATTTAAATTCTCACATAGATAAGGATCATTTATTATTTATACTTGTCCTTGGCCTTAAGAAAATGATGTCCTATTACGAAAAAGCTTGCAAATTTACATACTCATTTGCGCAGATAGGAAACATAATCATTCAAATTACTATAATAAAATTTCTGTCTGTTTGGGTTTAATTTTTGGCAAGTTCTTAATAAACCAATGTTTTCCCTTTCGTAAATTGAATCTTAAATAATTTAGCTCTATATTTTGTTTTGTTAAAGTGCTTGCAGTTTTCAAACAGTGCCCGATGGGGATACTTGTAAATATTTCATGCAATAAATATGCCTGTTAGTGAAAACCCATTTGAAAGAGATTAAATCAATTGTGCATAATTAACTGTGGCCATTTGTCTTGGCCATCATTATTGTGGGAATTTTAAGTTTTTAAAAAAATAAATGGTTAAAACCAAACAAATAGAAACCTTGTAAAACATTGTCGGTAGTCTATTTTCAACAAATAATGTTGGTGTAGACTGTTCAGTTGTATCAGAAACAAAAATTTAACTTGTCCAGAAAAATCAATGAAATGTTATTGGGGCTGTGTCCATGGAGCCATAGATTATAGATCATGCCAGATGTCTCACTGTGGATCTATCCCTATCGGCTATGATTTTCCTGTCCGCGATTTTCGCGAGGCTATCACGCCAGATGACGCATGCGACACTTACTGCCACAATGGCGCTTACTGCCAAAAGGCGTGATTGCTCATGTTTCATGGCGTGGATTACACTTACTGCCAAAATGGCGGCCAACGCGTGCTCATAAAAAATCGCGGACATAATTTTGGCTGAGTGAGACATCTGGTATGATCTATAATCTATGATGGAGCTTAGCTCTGGCAGTGAGTGAGACAGCCTTAAAAAGTTAAAAGTGAGATGAATTTTGATTGTGTTCGTATGATAAATTTCTTTCCTCTTGCAGTTTTTACAGTTTCTAAAGCCCCATTGAAACAGAGTTGATGAGTGTTGATGAGAGTTGACACTTGACAATCATTGCATTGCTACTGGAGACATTTTAAGTTCTAGATTGACAATATAAAAGTTTGATGAGTGTTATGTTTTAACATCATGATAGTGTTGGAAAGGCATTAAGAACAGCTAGCCAAGTTTGTGTGTCTGCCAACTCTCATGACATCTCATACACTATAGCTTGCGGTGGCATCCTTTTGTATCAGCCTGGTTAGAAATTGTTTATTTTTTTGTTCATGAATCCCAGCTGCCAAGATCTTGCTCATTTCAAGCTAGCCAGCAAGGTCTCAGCAACTGGACCAGACTAGTTATCTATCTATCTATCTATATATATATATTGCAAAGAAATTTCTACTATAAAAATAGAGTTCAAAATGTTCTGAATTTTTTACCTCTCCATGGTAACAGGTTGTGTATTTTTGCCTGTCTCCTCTATTATTCAACTTACAGGAACTGGTTAATGATTGCCATCTCTCCTGTCTACATACCCTGTGTCAATAAGATACTTGTATTTGTTCAGGGGCTTGCTCGGCCAGGTGAAAAATGTTTACGCCTGTCATTTGTGAAAGTCGTGTGGAATCCACAGGTAGACAGGTGGTTATTTGGAGCTTGTACACAGCCTCCTATTACACCCCTCCTACAGCAGGGCTGTATGTTTGATGATCCATTATTTAAGTTGGATATTGTTGTTTAGTTATATATAGTGGAATTGCTGTGTTTATATGGATAACATATCTGCACTGTTTTCTGAGATCTCAGATGAAAAAGTAAATATGAACATATTATGTAAATATGAAATATCACATGGTAAATAATGAACATAAGTCAGTATGAACATTGCTAGGTTGATTGTTATTGCAATAATACCGGGGGGGGGGGG